TAACTCTCACATTTCCTTCTTGATGTAGAAGTGCAGAAGCTATTACACCTTTCAAATTAGCCCATGATGAAAAATCTCAGACCCCAGTGTTGACCTCTGTATACCTTCCTGACAGAAGCTGCTTGCTTAAACAGTTTATAAATTGCTACTTTTGAAAATAATCACTTTGTTCTCACAAAATATGCATGTTGGCTGGAAGGGATTATAACCTTTTCTAGAGTGACTGTATTCCAAAGCCCACCAAAGAAAATTAAAATCTTTATATAGATGTTGAATCCACTAGTTCTTACTAAAATGTGTTCCGTGCCTTCCGTCTAATCAGACTTGTATACATTGGCTGTGTTTGAATCCATGGTTAGGAAGTATTGAATTTACTAAGGACTTGTAGTTTGCATATGCTATTACCCTTTTGCTTGTACCCAGCAGATTTGTCCCTCCAGCCTCTAACCGCTCTGTTTGGCTGGTCGACTTGGGGCTAAGTATACTGTCAATCCAGAACCAAGCCCAGTAATGCAATTGTCATACCAGCAAAGTCTGTGGTGTTTGTTCAGAGTTTTCCTAGAATACTTATTTAGGGCTTTCAAAGCCAGTACTTAGGCATGAGGGTAATTCTGACTTCATGTACAATAAAATTAAATCTCGTTCCAAATTACCCTGTGGATGACCATCGCTTATATTGTAATTAAGCCGCATTAATGGTGAAATTTCAGTTGCTAGTCCGAGTTGAAATCTTTACGCTAACTTGAGATGCTCTCTCCCCTAGGTTTTTTGTTATGCTCTCAGTCCTGATGATGGCACGAACTTCCGGGTAAAGGTGATGGCTGAAGCAAACCACTTCATTGATCTGTCTCAGGTTAGTTCCTTTGTTTGTTGGGTTCTTGGCATGTTTGTGTTTTGTTTTTGTTTTTTTAAACGGTTGGTTGGCTCAACCTGTGTGAATCTGTGAAAGGGTACTGGCCACAGTTTGTTTCTTGAATCGCAGGTTGAGTGGCAAATATGA